AACAGAGAGAGAGAAACAGCCCGTTCCCTCCGTGTGCTCCGCGTGGACGTGTTCGTTGTATGTGTATGCGGATGCGTGAGCGTGTGCGTTCGCGTTTAAGCGGCGATTGGCGATTGAACGCCGGTGTATGGATGGGAGTGTAGGTGTTCAGGAAAATTTCAAAATCCAACAGAAATTGGAAGATGCTTGGTTCCCGCGTTAAACCAGATGGCGCTGGTGCATGAACCTTTTGGGCCTGTTTCGAAAGCGTGGCGAAATTAGAAACGTCTCGAAGGAGCCTATGGGATTGTTTGTATGTCACGCGCGTTCGAGGTTATGTATATAGGCGATCATGATCGTTGGTCCTCTGAACGGAGGACAACGATGAAATTTCGAAACGTTTATCAAGTCGAACAGGGTTATCGTTGAAATAAAGTTTTTCCTTCATACACGTGTCGTTGTTTTATTTACGCAGAGTAATTTCTATTACAGCTATAAAAAGAGATAAGTTATTGGAGGAGATTTGCATGGTTTCGCAAATTGCAGAATTACGAACACTGCGACGTTAAACGCTGGTCTAGGCGGTTTTTGTAATTGGTTTAAATTACCGGCTGTGCGAACTTCGTTTAAATCGCCGATCGATATCTCGCGGCGCGAAAAAAGACGTAAACGTCGCGATGGTACACAAAGGAAGCGTTTCACGGAGTAATCTGGATGAATGGAAAGGCGCGCGCGTGCATTTCCTTTCGTCGAATAAAACGTTACTCCCTAACGACCTGAAGTGCACTTCCTGTATAATTGAGTGCACTCAACTTTGTTACGCTTCCGCGAATTCGTTGAACTCGCTGAATTCGTTATTAGATAAATTGCCATTTAAAGTGAGGTTTATAAAAATACATCGGTAAGAAGAGATTTTACGATTGAAAAATATGAAAAAAAATCTTTTAGTGCAGGGAATAAAGAAAAAAACGAGAAACTGTTGCACACGATGAACGTGCGTGCCTGGCGCAATTACCGAGCGTTATTTTAAGACACACGTGCTCGTGCAGTTGGTGTCTAATTACAATTAAACGAGATCAAGTGCGGCGCGAAAGGTGCGAGGTTCTATAGCCCCTTTCTTAACGATAGCTGCTGCGGTGATCGGCCGGAAAACTGCAACTTTACATTAGGAAGCCAAAATGTGCATCGCCCTTTCATGTTATAATGTACTTATAGCCTACTCTCTTCCGCGTACGATGTATACATCGATGAAAAGATAAATACGAAAGAATTTGATTTTAATCGAAAATTACTGAAAAGTCTAACTTTCTAAATCATATAAATTGTAATATAATCAAATTTAAAGAAATAAGTCTCGTTTAAATCGACATACTCTTCCGCGCTCGATGTATAGATCGACGAAAAGATAAATTCGGAAAAATTTGATTTTCATCGAAAATTACTGAAAAATCGAACTTCGTAAATCTGAAAAATTATAATAAAATTAAAAAAAATCTAAGTTTCATTTAAATTGACAAACTTTGTTTATCCCTGACATTCTTTCGATTAACGCGCAACGTTAACGCACACATCGCGAATTTATTCGTATGCAATGGACAATCGATCAACAGAGCGGCAGGTCAATCGAATCCCCGTTACGTCACGATGAAATTTTCTGATAATTATTTATTTATGAAAAGTATGCGACTCGGGACGCGACCCCTCGCGCTAAACCGGTATTAAGGCTGCACACGCGTGCAAGCATCGTCTGCACTCGGCTTAATGTCAGCCAAGCGAGTTGGCACGAAATACGATAAATGCCACTTTCGCCCTGGAATAACCTATAGCTCTCGGGTATCCCTACTTTGCAATGATAATTCGCATCGTCCGACGATAAATCCGGCCATCTTTTACTTTCGGTTCTTCCCCGGAGGTGATGCACCCCTCGTTACACTTAACTTCGTTACAAAACACTTCAGAACAAGCCTAGCCCCTTTGCCTAACAATAAAAAGAGACTTTTATCGTTTCGTTACTTCTTCGATTTCCTGGTTTCTTCGAATCGAGCTTGAAGGTAGGCAGGCAAAAAGTACACTTCCGAGGCAGCAGGCTTTCCATCATTAATCTCGCGACAA